GCAGTGAAAAACTCGAAAACTTTTTCCTCCTTGTCTGGAGACTGCTTGAGTTTCTTGTTTTGTTGTTTGCCCATGTTTGTCGCGAAGTATTTTCTTTTCGTGGGCACTAAGGCCCTAGTACCTTTAAGGTTGTTTGAGGAAAGGGGAGAGTTTTTTGTCAAAATTTTGTTTTGTACGAATTTTCCGGTGATGTACCGGAAAGAGTTTACAGGCTTATTTTTCTTGTTGAATCTTTGTTTAAAGATGATTGAAAACATATCCATAGTAAGGTTTGAGTTGGTTGTTGTTGGGGTGGGGAGATTTTATAAAATTTTGAGATAAAGTTTGCATAAAACTTTCCACAAGTACATGTTTTAAGTGCAGGTTGAGTAAGTAAGTGAAAGTAGTGGTATTTTTTGTTGTTTTTATCTTCGCAGAGTTTTGGATCAATATTAATAGGAAGAATATGAAGAGTTTCAGGTTTGTTTTCTGCTATTGCAAGACCATGGCGGTTGGGATACCTAAAGTACCAGTAGTCGAGGTTGAAAGAATCAGGCTTGTTAGAAATAAGAGTAGGAATATTAAGATATGTTTATAATATAAACTAAAAAAGAAAAATATCTTTTGAATTTAGCAAGTTATAGAAGAAATTTGTTTGAAAAATATGTTTTAAGCCCAATTTATTAATTCTTCAATTGTATTAAATATTTATTATTATTATTTATATTTGCCACAATAGAGTTTTATTAGTGTTAGCTTTGTAAAAAAAAAAAAAAAAAAATCATAATTAAATATTAGTGCTAGCAGTAATATTGAAATATATATTAAGTAGTAAAAAAAAGGTTTTTAAAAAAAATACTAGAAAAAAACTTTTAAGACATGTGCAAGATTAACATCCAATTAATAATAAAAGTATTTAGAAAAACAAAGTTACCTGAAAACAGAATCATAACCCTAAATAAAAAGCTCACTAGTTTAAAAGAATTAATGGCCAGAGATGCAACAAGAAGCTCCTATACAAGTTCTCTCAAAAAGCTAAATCTGCAATTACAAAATAAACTAACCACTTTAACAGAAAAGTGATTAACAAGATCCAAAGCTTAGTAGATTAAAAAATGAGAGAGGTTAACTAAATACTTCTTCTCTAGATACAAAACAGGTACTTGCAATCAGAAATTAAACTACTATCAACAAGTAACCAAAATAAAGAAGATATTCTTGGATATATAAAAGATCAATATGCAAAAATATATATATCTGAAAAAATTATACAGAAACAGCAGAAAAAATTACTCAAAACTTATTTAAATATCTCAAGATCTAAATAAAATATTAATAAAACCAATCATTTCTGAGGAAATAAAACATATCATACTAGATCTATTGAATATTAAATCTTCTGGCTTAGATAGTTTATCCTATGAGTTCTACAAACTGTAGTTAAAGAAGTTTTTTTAGTTCTAAAAGAAGTTTTTAACAGAGTTCTTGATACTAGGTTATTTTCTATATCATGATACAAAAATCTAATTGTCCTAATCTCAAAAAAATTAACAGATTTTACCATTTCTCAGATACTAAAATTTTTATAAAAATAATAGCCAACAGGCTCAATACTATTTGAGGAGAAATCATACACAACTACTAGCAGGGGTTTATCACAGGAAGATCTATTACCAAATGCTATATTTAAATATTATAGCTTCTCTACAAAACAATACTGAATGCTTTTTGTTTATCAACAAAAAGCTTTTAACCAAATAAATCATAACTTTATAAACTTTGTCTTGAACAAGATGGGATTTGTATCAAAAGTAACCAATCTCATACAAAATCTTTTTTCAAATCAAACTGTATATATTCTTGAGAGTAGAACCTTGTCTACTCCAATTAAGATAAAAAGAGAAGTTTGCCAAGGAGATCCCCTATCTCCATTACTGTACATACTAGCATTAGAGCCTCTACTTATATAATTGAAAATTAATCTTTGAGAAATCCCACTAGGCAAGCAATTTTTTAAAGTAACAGCCTATGCAGATAATCTAACACTAGGCATTGGCTTATTAACAGATTAGAAAAACACATTCAACCTCTTCACAATATATAAGTTAGCCTCAAATACACAAGTAAACAAAAACAAACCCAAACTCATTTCTCGGACTAGCATAGCCAGAAGCATCAAGCTAGCTAAAGAAGGCCTTTTTAACAAAGTACAAGAACAAGATGTAGTTAAAATTCTTGGTTTTGAAGTTTGAGTTAATAGTATACATAAGAAGAACTTATGACCTTAAACAATAACAAAACTTAGAAATAAACTAAATAGCTTAAACAACAGAAATCTCTCTCTTAGAGAGAAAATTTTAATTACTAAAATATTGATCTTTGTTCAAATCTGGTATATTGCATATCTGGCTTCTCCAAGTAAAAAAACAGATTGCAAAAATTAATGAAATAGTTTTAATCTAAATAAAGAACTCTTTCAAAATGTTTTTAAAGTACTTGGTCTTTCAATACACATATAAGTCAAGAGGGCTCCAGATCCTGGTAATAAAAGACATGCTAGATACAAGGCTTATCACAGTCTAGCAGAGACTCTTCACTGCAAATTCTCTGTGGGCTAGATTTAAAAGGAACAGAATCACTAAAATATCACACAACAAACAAAGAGTTTTATCTAGGCAAGCTTTGAAAGACAGTACAACTAAAGCATGGCCCAAAGAATGAAACCCTATATAGACACTTGGCAAAGAATCAAGAGAGTGATCATAGCAGAATCAGAATAGCCATGAAGAATCAATAATCTAAAGGTTGAGAAACTACTAGGAATAACCTTACAGTAAAAAAAATCATTGAAAGCTTTAAAGTAAATTCCAACCCACCAACCCAAGCCAAAGTAGAAAACAAGACTTTTATTAAAACACATCTATGGTGTTTTACATATATATATATATTATCTCAACTGGTTATTATTCAGTACTCTAAGTAAAAATGCTTTATGCTTCTAAAAACCTATTCCAAATCCTAACTTTAACTCTAAATACTAACTCTAACATGAAAATTTGTGTTGAAAAAATTTTTATATTCAAAATTTAGAAAAAACTTAGAAAACATAATAAAACATATGATAGGTGCAAACCACCATAGATATGTTTTATAATAAATAGAAAACAATATGAATTAATTTGAATAAATAGGTGTTAAAAAAATTTGCAACAAAAGAAAGAATATATTTTGGTGACTATTCTACATCTATATCACATAGACCTAACAATCGAAAGGAACTGCCTTTAGTGCATAGAGCTATAAACTCCAGAGCATTTTGCTATAAACTGCAAGGTTAGCAAGAAAATATAGAATAGAGCCTATAGGTTTCTGGGCTAAATCTATTCTTTTATTTACAGAGGAACTCTTCTAAGCATCAAATGTAGACAATCAAAAAATGAAATATACCATGTTGTGGTTATATACAAATGTAGTTTATAAATCTGGTGTCAATATACCATATTCAAATAGAGCAAAAGTACTATAGTAGAGGATATTATCCTATAGCTAATAATATCCTGTCTGGTTAAAGAAATTAAAACTTGCAGACTAGAATTGTAAATAATAGTCCTAAAATTAAAAAAGTATTTACCTTTCTAAAATGTAATTAATTAATACAAATGATTGTGATCTTGGCTAGTACAAAAAAAAAAAATTTACTTAGAAAAAAGATTTATATAACTCTTTTCTATACACTTAAAATAGGAATAGAGTTTTAAATAAATATAAAATAACCAAAAACTCATATTAATTACATCCAACAAGGGCTGATACCCTTGTTCTTTAAAAAAAAAAACATACTGAAACTCTTTCCAGTTCCTAACTGGAACTCTGTCGACAACAAAATTACTACACAAAACTCACCTCTTTCTATCCAAAAAAAAAGTACTTTAGGGCAGTGATGTACATGGATATATGTCCAAGCCAAATCATTGGATATGGATGTCTATGGACAATGTCCAATGTCCATGTCCACATGATCATCCTGCGTAAGTAATGTACATGGACATATGTCTATGGACATGTCCATAGACAATGTCCAATGTCCAAGCATGTTATTGGCTGATCAGCAAGAAATCTAATCGGTTAAAAAAAAATTTTTGCTATAAAAATTCCTAATGTCTTAAATTTCTCACCATACTATAAAAAGCCTATTCACTAAAAATTCATGTTCTAATTAGTTATAATTCCGCTAATGTCTACTCTTGCCCCACCCCTAATCAAATTCACTATTTAAATTTTGATCATATGCAAATTTTAAGACGTACAACATATTTGAGTTAATATTCATGTTTATTGACAGCAATGCTGTTGATTATATGGATTGATTTTATTAATTCCTAAACGTATAGCATTTTATTATTATAGCCTTAGACTGTCCAGGTCTATTGACAATACTAACTTTAGGATTTTAGTATATTTTCAGATTAGATAATTATGATAATATAGGCTATGAGAAGCAGATATGATACTGCATAACTATTTGTTGTTTGTCCATGGACATGGACATAGCTTTTAGCTTGTCCATGGACATGGACGTCCATGTCCATGGACGGTCCATGTCCATGTCCATGTCCACGGACAACACTGATTGTAATCACCTGAATAAATCTAATTAACATGCCTAGAATAAAATAAAAATTCATACATTCTATTATATTTAAATTCTCAGAATTATCTCTAGTACACTATATCTATAGTTGGTTTGACAAAAAAAATGGTATTAAAATTTCCTACTTTTTAAAAGTAGAAACATTTAATCAACTATGTGTCACTAATGGATTTTTTTTATGGCTATATGGGGACTTTGCCTTGAAAATGACCTTGCGGTACATGATACCGTAAGGTCATTTTCAAGGAAAAGTCCCCATATGTCGACCACCTTTAACTTTTCTGAACGTTATAAAATTGTGTTTATTATTTATAAGTGTAATTCTTAAATAATAATCTTTTTCAGAGGAAACTGGTTGGTATGATCTTTAATGCGGTAAAATACGAAATTCAAATAAATAATTTTTAAAATTTGGTAAACCAAACAAATTCAAACTTTATTATCAAATAACTAGCCAATAAATACATTCGCACAGTTAAATTTATAATAGACTATCTATGTCTTATATCTACAGTGAATTATCAAGATGGTATGAAATAGTATACGATAATGCAACAAAAGATAAAGCTGAATTATCAATATTAAAAGCTTTCCGGTCTGCAGATACAATTATTCCAATGTTATCAACTGAATTACCAATTTGTTCTGAAGATAAACTTACAAGTAAGCTGCTACTTCAGAAATCTTTCTGAGCAAATTAATCTTTATCTGCAGAGTTGCTAAAAGTTTATGGTAAATAATCAAACTTATTATAGCTTAGTTTTAATTAATTGAGAAAAATGTGATTTTTCAATTTCTGATAATTAATATAATAATATTTCACATATAATTTATAAACACTTTTATTTCTATAGCTAATAAAATACCATGAATAAGTAAACTAATCAAATTTTATTATATAATAATTTAAGATTAATATTAGAAGAATCAGATTTTATTAGCAAATTTTGTTATTAGAACCACAATGAAATTTATCAATTTTTTGTACAATGAGGTCGTTTAAAGCGCTGTATAATGACGTGGTATCGCATCAAACAAATAGAAATTTGATGATTCTGATGAAAAACTCGAATATTAATAAAAATGTCAGAAAACAATTTTGCACATATAAAAAACACATCTAAACCTAGCCATAAGTTAAAGTAACTCTGACCTTAAATCAGAGCCACGGAAAAATTTCGAAAAGATTAGGAAATAATAAATCATAATTTTTATTAAATTTATAAAACAAAATTTGCTTTTTAAGTTACACGGAAAACCTGATTGGCTAGCTATTTTAATCCACCAATAATATTACTTATTTCCTCTAACTTCACCTGAAAAAAGACCGATCTAAAGATGGGCATCTCGCACTTATCAGTGACGTGTTCATAATTGTTACATGATAAATATTATTAAAATCACATCAGATGTCTATGTTATAATATGTGACGATTAAGCACACGTCACTGATAAGTGTGAGAGCACCCTTGAATGTGTGCCAGGTTAGTGGCGCAGATTTCCTTAACTACGAATCAGATTTCAAGATCAGATATTATCAAGAAAATTCAAAACAAACATTTGTTTTTGTCAAAAATCGTTTATTTCTCGAAATTCTGTATAAGAAACAACCTTTAGTGCTCTAACAAAAAGGTTTCATTGGGTAATTTTACTATATAAAATCTCCCACTAACCTCTAATCCTAACCTTAACATAAACGAACTTTAAAGGATTTTTGATGGGCCACAAACCTGACACATTCAAGTTGTGTCACGGTTTTAATTCTAAACCCGTTACTTGGATGTTCACTGGAAGTGTCGTAGCTCTCCCACAAAAAATTTACCCCCCCCCCCCTCATGATTTTTATCCAATTGGGACGTTAAGGTTAGATTGGGTTTAAGTCACGTTAGGAGGGCAGATTCATTAATTAATGTTTTTGTGGGAGCTCTACAGGTGTTGTTCACTGGTTCAAAACATTAACCAAGCATCGCCCAAAAAGGCTAGATGAGGCGGTGGCATGGCCGGGTAGAAACAAATAAAAATGGTAACAAATCGGGTAAATCGTGTGGCCGTGTAAGTCGGATGTTTACATCTACTAGGGAAAAGGTGCATGACCAAAATCATGATAAGATCAGTAGTGATTATGCGATGAGATTGGGACGAGATGTTGAATTCTTCGTCCTTTTTTTTATTTTTTTTCTCAAATTTTTGTATAAAAATTTGAATTTGATCAAATAAAAGTTTGATAATTACCTTTGACCCTAAAGTCCGTTTTTGTACCTGATACCCATAACAAACCAATCTAAAGCCTTACCTTGCCAAATCGTAACTGCTTCGCCCTTCTTGTGCGGTTTTTAGTAGTTTTCGTGTGTATCGTCTCTGAGTGGCTATCTAGACCCGTGTATCTCCTAGCCATTTCCACCACCATTCTTCATTTTAACTTATCGTTGTTGCATCTAAAGTAGCCACCCTATCTAAAGTAGCCCTGGGCTAGAATTACGATTTAGTGCATGCATGAAGATCTAATTTCAGGGGCCTAATTTTAGTCAGGCGCTACTTTATATATCTAAAGTAGCTACTTTAGATAAATCGCTACTTTAGATGCAACATCATTATCTAAAAATCTTATATTTAAATCATTCAATTCAATATCTATTAAATAAATCATAATTAATAAAGAATTAAAATTGATTTATTATAAATACGATTAATTCACAATATTATAAAATAATGCCTGGTCATGCTGATGTACCCTCTATGAAATTTTATTAGTTGTGTTGAGTCAGCCAACTTCATAAGGATTATGATCATTGTAAACTGTAATTATTGCGATATTTGATCAATTGCATAATTAATGTAGCAGGATCGTTATTATTCGTAATCGATCTGTGAATTAATACATAATCAATGCATGAGAATTGAAATGTGGATACAGAAACAATCAGTTATTCTTATTCACATTCTCAGTTGTCATCTATGATTTTCAGAATCGACTTACGTTTATTATGCGTACTTTTAGATATTAGATTAAGTTAATGTTAGTAGCATGTGTTAGTGAGTCATGTACTATGTATCGTCAGAATAGTAAGGCTTGTAGTGGAAATTTTTACAGTAACTCACGATATGAACCATAATAATTCTAACGCAAACTAACTCAAACTTAACTACATATTGTGATTATTAGAATAGCAAGAGTTTTTTTTACAGCAATCCATGATATAAATAATAATTCACAATAATCACATCGCAAACTCAACCTTAACTCCGTATTATGCGGCAAGTAGGTTTGTAACAGAATTTTTATAATAATTCATGATAGAAATTACGATAATTACAATACAAACTAACTACCTTTTCATCATTACAGATTGACAAGCTTTGAATAATATGTTTAAACGATAGAAATTGCAATAGCTCCGATGTTGACTAAACCTCATAGAAAAATACTAATGCAATTCAACTCAACTCTAACCACCAGAATAACGGGCAAGTGTTGCAGAATTTTTTACATAACTCAGAGAAATTATGAAAATTCTAATTCAAACTTGCACCACTTATTGCTGTCATCAGAATAGCAAACAATTTCTAAAAGATTGTATTGCCTTAACTTGTGATGAATATCCTGGTAATATCAACGCAAACAGACCAATTTTAGCTATTGTGTACTACATTATTGTATTTTCAATTTAGTATATAATTTTTTTTTCGAGCTCTGTGAGTCCAATAATTACGATACAGGCAGTCATCTAAATTCGTTATATTTCAGAACTCATTTCATAAGTACTTTTTTTTGGTGTTTATTATATTTATTATATGTGTTTTCGCAAATATAACAAATTTAAGTGATTACATCTATTGCAATCGTGGGACTCATTAATCTCACAAAAAAACCACAAACTGATCAAATCAAGCTAAATTAAAAGAGCGATAATAAGTTCTGCAACAAAATATTTTACATAACTCATGATAGAAATAACGGTAATTTATTGCAAATCAGCTCAACCTTAACAACTTAGCAGAAACTTTAATTTTTGCTATTGTTAAGTGGTGACTCGTAGGGTTTTATTAATTTATATACAAAAAGATATAATTTTGGTGATAAGGCAACTCGCCAGAGGCGT